GCTCTTAAACAAGTAGTACTGCTAACTCAGAACCCACAAATATATGTATGTCTGAGGGTAGTGTTTACAAGAAATTTCTTTGAAGCCATTTTGTGGTTAGTGTTCTCTCTCTTTCTCTCTGTAAAGCACTCCAGAATAGTGTATAAGACAATGCCACACCTGTCTTTTTCCTTTTGCAAAGTCAGGAGTTGTTTTTAACTTTGTGACAATATTTAAACAGAAAAATAGTGTGCACTAAAATCAGTGATCCTATCACAGTCTTCAATTGTCTTTAAAGTCTTTAGATATCTCCAAATAGATAGAGGTTAGCATAGCTCACAGGTGTTTGGGGCCTTTCAGGTCAGCTTGTTTTAACTCTGCCTTGCAGTAAAATGTTAGTGAAGGTAAAACTGAATCCCTTTCATTTGAGAACCACAAGACATTCTGCCAACAGAAAAGTATTTTCAACACCCATAAGCTACAGAGGTGGCAGTGACCAATATTCCTACTGTGAGTGAGACTGGGTCATAATCACATCAATTTATGCAGTGGATAAACAAGCTACACTAACTTGCTGTTCCTGTGGTCACTAGAATAGAGAACCCTCAAGGATCGTACAAAAGGAAATCCAAGGACAGGAGAAATACTCACCAAGAAAATGGATACATCTAAATATCCACAGACCAAGAGACAGACCAAGAGAAGAAGGGGGAAGGAAAAAAGAGGATCTAATTGCTCAGTAGCTGTGTTGTTGACTGAACTGTGTCCCCCCCAAATTCATATGCAAGCCCTCTACCCTTGATGCAGTAGCATACGGTCTTCGGGAGGAAGTTAAGTATGAGGTCACGAGGACAGGGCCCTTTGTAAGACAGGCAGTAGAGAGTGTGGTTTTGCTCTTTCCTCACTTCCCTCACCCTCCCTGCCCTCTGAAAACCTGGCAAGAAGATGTCCTCAGCAAGAGAGAGAAAGGAGGAAATGAATTAGCTAGTTCCCAGCCTCTACCTAGATCTGTGAGGAACAAATATTTATGATACAAGACACCCAGATATTTTGTTACAGTAGTTAGATCCAAGGATGCTAAGACAAGCCAAGAACACAAAGTGAAGTCCTCCTCTTAAAAAATGCACTCTTTCCATTTTTCTTTATAGGAAAATTTGCTGAGCATCGCCTGAGCCAGAGTTTCACACCACTGCTGGAACACACCACTTCCCTTCCACGGTGAAATGCTCCTCATCTCATCCTGCCAGCCCCTCAGCTTGCTGGGATTCTTGCACTCCCAGCAGATCTTGGGAAACACCAGTGTTTTTCCAAATTTGAAAGAGGAATCTCAAAAATTGCTTGGAGGTAAAGAAAGGATATTTTTTGTCTGCAGAGTAGCTAGCTCCACATGGGCACTATTTGTAGTTACCAACTGGTCTATGAGACACTTACTTTTAAAGAAAGTCTACCTCCCTGTTTAAGCTGGATACACAGATTTATGGCCTAAACCAGAGTCTTCCAACTAAGTCACCCATTTGGAGGATGTGAAATCACATGAATTGTTCCAATACTTTCAATAAAATCGAACAGCACAAAATAAAAACTACTACAGAGTCTTGTTAGTAATAAGAATAAGCACTATCTCATGAAATTGTTTCTGCTTCACACACATACACATCTCACTGTCTAAAGCTGTATGGCTGTTTAGCAATCATATATACATAGGTAGAATGAATATTTATATACACAAGAATATATATATATATATATAAATGAATACTTTATAATTAATTATTGGCTATAATTGAGTTTCCACATACAAGTTTTTGTTCCTGAGAATCAGGTGTGAGAGTGGGTGTTAAAGATCACTAGGTTAACGTAACAATAGTAAGTGAAATAACAGTTTTTAAAAATCCAAAATAATTTAACATGTTATTCTGTCCTAATTATCTTTTATTTGGTTTTTCAGCTTTTACGGCAGGAGATGCACCTGACTTAGTCACAAGTGTCCTTTCAATCTGGTGCAACAGGTATAAGCATAAGGCAAAAATAATGAAACAGAGGATGTAGGTTTGTATGCACAAGGCCAAAGCCTCACCATAAAGCAGGCCATGCCAATTGTCATCATTCCGTGTGCCAAACCACTAGGCAGAATCTGAACCACAGGCAAGCTCTCCACTCCATTAGAAAAATCTTTAAAACACCAGTTTCTGAAATCACTGGGCAAAAGACCAACTGCTATCCAAGATACAGAACTCTAAATAAGATCATGGCTGATTCATATTTTTTAAGCAGAACTGAGTTTGTTAGTCTACTATGATTTTTATAAATCATAAATATTTTCAAATGTGATCTGAAAAATTAATTCACATAAAACTTTTAAATAACCTATTCACACACATTCATAACCCCTCAAAATAAGTTTTTTTTCCTCTTCCCCGGTCTAAACAGCTATATATGTGAATTAAAGCTTCCAGCACCTGCCTTCACAAGAACTATCCGGCGGCTTCGTGGGTAAAGCCATGCCAATGTAGCTTCCCTTGAGTAGCCAAATACAGGTTCAGCTTCCATTATGTTGCCCCAATAGTCATGAGTCTGATCTTGAGTTCAGGAGTCACTAGTTAATAACAGATAGTTGTGAAAAGAGGAACCAACAACTCACGTGTTACACCGATGGTGACTGTCTATAGGCCTGAGCTAACCCAATGGTACAACGCAACACAGGGAGCACTGCCCTCAGCATGCCAGTGCTAACTGCATACTAATTAATTAAAAGTATTGTCCCTATAGGTATCACTGTTTTATTCAAGACTGAGGAAAACAGACTGAAACTAATGAACTGAGCTCAACTTGATCGCCAGTATAGGAAGGAAGAGGACTTGACACTTAATACCTAAATGATGATTGTGTTGCATTCTCTAGTTTTATAAATTGTTAATAATTGTATCTGGAATACTAGTTACATTATATTTTAGGTTTATTCATTAAAAAGTATAAGTTGGGTCATGAGGTGATCAGATTTCTCAAAGTCATAACCAAACAGTGGAAGCACACACTTCACCAATGCTGCCATCTGCAGAAAACTTACCTAACACTGCACAGCACTACAGAGAACAGTAAAGGGAATGTAAACATTTAGCTTTTATTTTCAAAACATTTAAATTCTGTTAGATAGCAAGGCAAAAGTCTTAGCAATATAAGATAGACTTATATTTACCATCCAGAATTTTCAGCATTAGGGAGCACCAAACTTTAAAAATAAAATCAGATTCCTTAGGTTTTCTCTATGCAGTCTACCACCTACTACCTCATGTGTGTGTATAATAGGGTTTTCTTCTGCCACATTCCCATTCCTCAGATTGAAAGAAATTTCTCAAGCTTCCTGATGGCAAAATTTATGCATAAAGATAACGTTTCCTGGCCAGGGATTTAGCTCAGGGGCATAAGCGCCTGCCTGGCAAGTGTGAGGCGGTGAGTTCAAAGCCCGGTAACCCCCTCCCCCAAAAGAAAACCTTTACTTCCAAGTTAGAATCAATTAGCTACATCTGGGTTAGAAGTTATTCAGAAGGCAGTCAGATGTGCTACAGGGACAGTCCCTGCAGCAGTAGCAGACACTTCCTCTACTATATGGCACTTTCTGAAACTGCAAAGAAACAGTTTTAAATTGATTATCTGCTCACTCAGAATTTAGCACTGCACCACTGCTACCCATCTTAGAATTATGACAGGCTTTGAAAACTGCAGAAAGATGCACTTCACTGCTATTTCATTGTTGTGTACATACAACAGGGCTTCAGATGAACATTGAAAAATCTGATCAAAAATGGGTTTGGGTGGACATTATCCGATGCTCAAAAATTTTGAAACTTTTTAAACTAAATTTTCATTCAGAAGTTTTGCATTTTTTACACACACCACTTGTATTCAATAAGTCTTTACTATTAATAGCAAATCATAGAACAGGAAGGCAGCAGCCCTTACATCTTTCCACTAAGTACCACCAGACAGAATCCTGCTCTGTGTGGTCTCTAATGGCATTTTTTTTTTTAAAAGTGGCTGTGAGCTAAATCATTTTCAGCAAAGAGAGAATGAGAAAATCGCAAAGCAGTTGGAACTTGACACTGTTGAAATTGCATTTTCAGATTCCCTATAACAAAAGGCCTGCATAAAGTCAGTGTTGAAACCAAGTTACCGTAGCATGGACAACTGAAAGGAAGGAAGGGAAAGAAAAAAGAAAAGAAAACAATTCAACGGCTGAAAGTATGAGAACACATGGACTCATTCACGGAGAAACTGCTACCTGTTTGGACCTTTAGGGGAGAGATAAGAGCCATTTCTGCCTCCCTAGGAAGATGGGTTTTTTGCATACATAATTTAAATAAATCACTCCAGCACAGGAAAGAAGAGCAGCAGAACTCTTCTCACTAATTACCACTGCCTGGACCCCTTATGCAGCTTTCTCTGTAAAGCCACCTTACTTCATTATTCTGCCTTTAACTCTTAAATGATTCATTCTCCTCTTAGCTCCTGAGCATACTCTGCAGGGAAGCTAGTATTTAAGTTTAATTTCTAGTGCCACTTGCTTTGGAGAGCTTGATGACGGTAAGGAGGAGGAATCTTAATTTAATAATTTTTTTCATGGTTTGGAGGGGCACCCTCAGACCTCCTCCCAGAGCGCCCCCATCAATAACTAAACCGGACCCACTCTTAAGCTGTCGGAGAGCAAACACACTATTTGGGAAAGCAGGGCCCACGTGCAGTGAGCTGTCACCCAGAAGTGGCAGCCAGCAAGCAGGAGCTGGGAGGGTGGTGAGTGCGGGCCTAGACGCTCAAGGGACAGCAGAGTAGCACCTGAGAAAAAAGCTCAGCTCTCTCCCAGACTACCTAGTGGGGAGAAATCTAGGGCCGAGGGACCGGTCCTGCATCCTCGGGAGAGGGACGAGCGGGTGCACGCTGCAGCGGTCCCCAGCCACTGCCCGCAGCCCTCGGGGCTCGCGCCCAGCAGGGCGCCCACCGCGCCCCCTCCCTCGCCCGCGTCTTACCGTCCCAGCTCCGACTCCACCTCGAAGAAATCGCTCAGCGCATCCCTGTTGGAGCCGTCGATCCAGTAATCCGGGACGAGGCTCCCGGTCCCCGGGGCCGCACTGGCGGTAACCGAAGAGCAGGACGAGGAGGAGCAGGAGGGCACGGTGACTTTGAGCATCTTCGCGGCGGGACTCCGGAAGCCGGCGCCGTGCAGCCGCTGGCCGAGCTGGAAGCCCCGCCGCCGCCTGCGAGCAGAGCCGAGCGGAGCCGAGCCGGGCGGGAGGGGGCGTCCTCCGCGCGCTCCACCGCGCCGCCGCGCCGCCGGAGGGAGTGGGCGGAGGAGGGGTGCGCGGCGGGGCGTGCGGGCGGCCGGAGCCTCCGCGGCCGGGCGGGCCGGGCCGGGCGGGCCGGGCCGCAGCAGAGCGCACTCCTCCCTCCGCTGGCGCGCCCTCCCCTCCTGCCCTCCGGCCTCCCTCCTCCTCGCCTGGCCTTTCCAGCACCCTCCCTTTCCCTCGCTGCCTCCCGAGGAGCCGCGGTGGCGGCGGTGCCCGCCAGGGCGGCTCCCGGTGCAGGCGCTTGGGGGCGGCACCTGGACCGGAGCAGCATCCCACGCGCCCTCCCGCGGGGAGCCGAGAGCCGCGAACCCGGAGGAGGACCGCGCGCCAGGGGGAATGCGCGCTTCAAGGGGATGGGCAGGAAGGGACCTGCACTGCACGCTGGGGGTGCGACTCCCTGCTCCTTGAGGTGTCCCCTGGCCAGTGCCTCCCACCCAGCACTGGCTATCCAGCCACCTTATGCTGTCCCTGGGGCAAAGCTTGTACGGGTGGCCCAGGAAGGTGTGCTTTGGTTGTCAATCCCCAGTGAGAGTTGGATGAGAGGGAAGGGCCTAGGTCCACACTGACCTGACTCACCTTTGAGTGAAGTCTTCAGCTGGACCAGATGCTGCTGTGCCTCCTGTGGCACGGATGGTGTGCCTGAAAGGACACCTACTTCAGTCTCCGCGGCGTCTAAAGGCCAGCAACAGAAAGTGCCTTACAGAATTGTAGTCTGGAAGGGCCCTGGATATGTCAACTCCGCGAACTTTCTGTCTTAAGACAGGACTTTGTCACCATTCATGACAGGGAAAATCCTTGCATTTAAGGCTCTTTCTTCTCCCCAAGAGATGCGGATGTGGATGCAGTCACAAGCATCTTGATGTCCATCGCTGTCACGGCTATTTTAAGGACTGGCTGAATGTATATCACTTATATTTCTACCCTTGAATTTTCCTTTTAAGATTTCAGCATAGATGAACTAGTAGTTATTATATTTTAAATACAATGCAGCTGTGTGTGTATTTATAAATATATATATATATATATATATATATATATATATATATCACATCTCATTTCTACCTAAATAACTCTAGATCTTTTAGTCTTATTTTGCAGATATTACTTTTAATTCTTTTTCCCCCAACTCCCCTGCAATGTACACTGAACTCTTCCAAGTGAGCGTCTGTTCTTGATAACACAAGTCATGATCATTTTCTAATACTTTCCTCTGATTTATTGATTTCTTATTCTTAATAGCTGTCCTGACACGTAGGTGAAATAACAGTCAAAAATCCAATAAAAAAAATCCAATCGAACTATGAGAGGAATGCTCTAGTTAACTGGAAATGAAAAGTTAATGCAGTAGCGTCAGAGAATAAACCAATGTTCCATTTACAGAGGATCTAAAAATACAAAGCACAGGTTCATACAAGTTCCATTATATGCCAGATTGATTATTTGATGTTAGGCCAAAATGCTTCCATGACATTGGTTTTCAGAGAATGAGTTAACTGATCTTCATGTTAGAAAAACAATTTAATAAGCACAACAGGATAATAAAACTCTCTGAACAGTTACTAAGTAAGTTTCCCTTGGCTCGTGCTGATTGGTGGAAAGCTGGCATAGATACTAAGCCTCTTGTATTCAGACCTCTTTGAGGCATGTCCAGGAGTGACAGCCCTGCATGTAAATACTTGTCTGTTGTTTGCAATTCTTTTACGACATCGGTCCAAAGCAAGCACCTTACATTAAAGAAGATAGTTGAGCCTTTCTTTCTCCTGCTATTTTAAGGAAATGGCAGAGGAACATCCATTTCACGGTACAGAGGTGATTATAGAATTGATTCAGCATCAGCGTAGTCACTTGACACCTATCCTTTTCATAAATGACTGTTGCAACTAATTGAAATTTTAAGAGGGTACAATAGTTCAATCTTATCAGCAGTTACATTTTATGGTTTCAATTCCCTGTAGTCAACCAAAGACTGAAAATACTAAATGGAAAAATTGTAGAAATAAATAACTCATAAGTTTTCAGTCTCTCACTGTTCTGTGTTAGGGTGAATTTCTTGCTATCCCATCCCAGTCAGGATGTGAATCATCCCTTTGTCCAGGGGACTGCAGCCCGATAGTCTTACTAGTCATTGCACATAAACTGTATGTATGTACAGGGAAAACCCCACAGTATTTATAGGGTTACATACTACATCAATAGTTTCAAGGATTCACTGGTAGTCTTGGAATGTACTCTGGTTTTTGTTTAATTTATGAACGCTACATTTATTTTTAAAATACATTAGGTGTAAATAAATAAAACATTAAGTATAGACGCAACAGAGATTGAATACATACAATTTATTATCATTCCTTACCAAACCTCAACTTAAAATGACCAGAAAAGAAACACAAGCATAAACCTGGGAGGGACTGACTCCCTAATACTGACAAACAAAATTGAAATTAGGAAACTGGGGAAACCTAAAACCTGGATTTGCAATGGGAAAATTAATATGAAAAATATAATTCTTATCACAGAATCAAGAAGTGCTCCAGAGTGAGGCTCTAAGAGTTTGAGAACCAACAAGACTTTGGAACCTATGAAAGCTACTCTTCTGAATGAAGAGCCTTCCATTCCACTTTTCCTCTAGGATGCTCTGCAGGCTACAGAGGGCAGCTATAACCCAAGCCCAAAATTTTAGTATTACTTAAGGTGAAAAATTTTTTTACAAGAAGCTGTTACTCTCTTAACTATTCACAGCCCAAACGTACTGCTAACTAGATCCTGAAAGATAGTTTATTTTTGTAAATACTGCATGTCTTAGTTACTTTTTACTGATTGTTGAGACAAAATACCTGATGCCCAAAATTAGGGAAGAAAGGTTTATTTCTTAAAGTTCTTTGAGGTTTCAGTCCACACAGTTGGCTCCAAGGCAGGGTGGCATGGCAGGGCACCCATTCACGGCCACAGCAAACAGCAAGGCATGAACCAGAAAAAGAGACAGACACGCCTTCTTCCTGCCTTTACACTGCATGCTGTCTTCCCCCACCAGGGGGGTGTAGCACTCACACCACCCATCTGAGCACTAGACAACAAACCAATCACAAGTGCTAGATTTGGTTAAGTCCATAATTGCATGAGGCTTGGGGCCACTGACATAAACCATGACACTGCTCAAGGAGCAAAATATGCTTCAAGTAAGAAGATATAACTGAGACTGTATTGAAAACAGAGATTATAAGTGAAACTCTACAAGATAACCCATGAGATTCCCAGGATGGTGACAAATAAGCATAATGTATCCTGTCATCACTCACCTATATGAAAATTGGAGGATTCATCACAGGAAAACTAAACATTCCATGATCGTGTAGGCCTATGGGTATCAACAATTGGGATACTACAACAAAATATCGTTATTTCTGAAAATCATCTTACGGTGAAACACATCATTAAACAGGTTAAGAAATCCAAAGTTTCTAATGATCAGTTCAGTGTCTGATTCACATATGAATAAACAATTTTGTTTGAATGTTCAATTTTGTTAATGGCAGAGTAGCTGGTATGAATAAATCCTCTGCATGTAAAAGATAATGGACTAAATATAAACAGTCATTTAAATTTCTAAATTTATCTTTTTACTAGTATATGTTTGTAGTACATAATGATAACATTCATCATGGAGGTTTGTACATGTATGTAACACATCTTAATTCTTTTTTTTCCCCTTCCCTTCTGCATTTACAAAAGCTCATTTCCATTTTTTCCTTCTATTTTCTTCTCTTTTAAATTCCTTTCCTTCCTTCTTTCCTCCATATTTCAGTGTGCACAATAATAGCCCAAATCAGAAAACTGGGATCAAGGTAAGCTATGGGAGAAACTCTTCTAAGTAAGGAGCATACATTCAGCTTTACCTCTTTAGGCCCTTGCAGATAGCAAAGGACAACTTTAACCCAAAGAACAAAAGTTTAGTCTCACTCACTTGAGGTAAAAGAAAACAAAATTAGGGCCAGTAGAGATCCTAGAAATTGAGAAGGAAATTCCATAAAAAAGTCTCAATAAAAAAATCTAAAAATATGTATGTAAACCATGCTTAAATAATAGTCTAATGTCTGAACTATACAAGTGTGTAGAAGGCTCAACAAAATCAGAAGAAAATAATAAGCAATAACTACGAATTTAAAACAGCTGGAAAGAAATTTTAAAATCGCAATAAGGTAAATATGTGTTGGGAGAGGGAATCTTTAAAATTCCCCAGGAAAAAAAATAACAGAACTCAAAATCTTTATAAGGCATCATTGACAATATTTAGCATATAATAAAGAATTACTAGAGATGTGAAATGACAGAAAAATGTAAACAATAACTAAAAGAAAAGCCAGTCAATAAAAACCAATTGCAAGATGATACAGGACTGGTATTTACATAAAAGTGCTTTAAAATAGCAATTGTAAATATATTTAAATAATTACAGAGAAAGATAATCATAACGAGTATACAGATAGGAATTCCTATCCGAGAAATGGAAAATATTTAAAAGAAACAATTGGAAAGTTGAAAGTTGATGATGAAAAAAAAAATTATCTGAATTAAAACACTGAAAAGTTGAAAGTGTCCAGTCTTCAGAAGAAAGGGTAGGAGGACTCAACAGGGTACCCTGCCTGCAGTATGGATAGGGCCCGGCAAGTCCCACTGCATGTCCATGACTGCCTGAGTTCCCCTCCTACACTGCGTTATGACTGGCTTAAGTGACACATAGGAAAAAATGAATCCTAACATCTTTTTTGAGTCACAAACAAAAATTAATTTTGGATGTATTACCAGCCTAAGTACAGAAGCTAAAACTATAATGGTACGTAAACATCAAAGAAAATCTTTAAAACTCACAATTTTCAGATATCCTAGACAATATATCAAGATACAATGAGCTCCAAACAAGAAAGGAAAAAATGTGAACATTGGCAATTACCAAATTTAAAAATTTATAAGCAAGAACCACAATTAAGAAAGTGAAAACAGGGGCTGGGATTCAGCTCAGTT